ACGGCACCCACCAGCACCCTCAAAGCGCCCACAAGGGTCAGGGGCAGAGGGCTCGGCATGATTTGTGTTGGGGATGTCTACGTGACCATCGGCACACCATTGGACTAGACAGGCACTTTTCAAAGTGGCCTCTTACCAAGACTAGCCACCAGGTCTGCAGAAATGTCCCAGGCAGTGCCACAGGCTGTGGAGAACTCAGGAGGAGGGGAACGTCCTACCGTCCTACCGGCCCTGGTTTAATGGACTGGAGGCGCAGCCTAGCCTGACGAGCTGGGCTTGGAGTCTGTGGTAATGGGAAGCCAGCTCTGCCTCTTGAAAGTATCACAGAGCAAGAGAAGAGTGACAGCCGGGTAGGTTCTTGCCACCTGGACTCTTCCCAGAGAACCAAGACCACTAATACTAACTAATTCTCTCCCCACCTGAGCCCACTGGGCTGCTGAGGGCTTCCTGGTGAAACCCTCCCCTCTGGGATGACCCATCCCGTAAAGCCTGTCACCGCTGCCCTGACACCTCTGTCCCAAGGATGGTTCTTGTAAGCTACAGTCTAAATAATTGGGGTCTGCTGATTGTGGTACAGGACTGTAATCCCAGCACTCGGGAGGCTGAGGCAGGAGAATCCCAATTTCAAGACTGTCTTGGGCTATAGAGTGTAGTGGGTAACTGTTCCACCTATGACCTTGAGGTACCAGCTCCTAGGGCGTGGCCTCAGGGCTAGCTTAAGACCTGAGGAGCACGTAGGCCTCTCTGTATTCTCTCCCTCGTGGGCTTGGATGGTGTGGACTGACTCAGGCAGCAGAAGCAGCCATCAGCTTTCCAGGACACTGCGACAGATTTGCCCTATCCTGTTTAGTGAGTTGTTCTCCTCAATTTATATCCTAATAAACTCCCTAATACTCCTTAAGCAGACTCCCACGGATTTATTGCTATAATAAAGCGAGACCTTGTTGAAAAAACAAAAAAGAAGTAAGAAAATAACCAGGCTTCAAATAGAGAGGTCGGAGAAAGTCCACTGTGGGTCCACAGCTGGGTTCATGACGGAGAGGCTACCCAAGCTGGTGGTACCCTTGTAGCTAAAACCAACCAACCAACCAACCAACCAACCAACCAACCAACCAGCCAACAACAACAATAACAAAAATAATCAGGATACTAGGAAGTAGCTTGGGGAGCCTTTAGCTCAAAAGCCAGCCTACCCCTCCAGGGTTGCCTGGGCCAGGCACCCTGGCAGTTCACTAATGCTGGTGATGATGGCTCTTAGGTGTTCTATGCTCTGAAGATGGGGCTGCAGGCCATGGGTGTTAGTGTGGCAGACTCTGGCACTGCAGGCCGTTGTCTGGGGAGAGGAGGCTGCAGTCTGAGGATACCATCTGGCTCACGGCTCTCCCATGGACTCCCCACCCTGAGCCCTGAGCATCTTGGACCTGAAGCTGACTCTGCTGCCCCTGTGGGCTAAGGCTACATGCTCACCCCCGCCCCCCGATCAGACCATGCAACCAAATGTATCTGAATAGTGAACATCTGCCAAGATGGTCTTTAAAGGAACTCTTCCTCCACGGAATGGCTTTGCCTCACATTACAAAGATATCAACCCCGAAACCCAACATGCCTTCACTTTGCCCTGTACACTAGAGCTGACCACCAGGCCCTTTTATGATGTGTGTGGTGAGGCCATATCTCCAACCTCCTGCTCTCCTCCCATGAACCCCAACCCCAGCCCCTACCTCATGCCATTTGCATGTGTTCTGTTGGGTCAATGTACCATAGAACCACCCCTTTCCCAACCTGGCTGAGCCCTGGTAGAGGACAAAGATGCCAGGAGGCTTCCTTAAACTGCACCCTGTGGGGCCTGGCAGGAGGAACAGCTGAGTCACACAGTACCTGGAAACAGCGCTGGGTCCTCCTTCCCATAACACACCCCATCGTAGCTCCATCCTGAGCGGTGGTTCCTAATTCTACCTGGGATGTGAGTGGCTGAGGTCAGCAGTGTACCCCACCCGCCCTGAAGGGGTGGGGCCGAGTATTGAGGACCTTGAGGACAGTTTATCTTATCAAGTTCATGTTTAGCAGAACAAACTGGTCAGGTGGGCCCCTCAGGCTCTCACTGTGCAGGTAACTGAATGACCCTGGCACTCAGGTGTGTGAGAAGCAAGTTCGGCTGTGCCTCTCAGTTCATTGCTTTCGTTCAAAGTGTTCAGATCTTATCTCCCTTCACAGTGTCCTGATCTCCTCCTCTATGACCCTTTTATCACCTCCCAGCTTTAAGCTGGAAATTAATAATGAAAAAGGCAGCTACAGTCTTGCACACAGATTCAAGCCATACAACATTTCCCATGAGAACCGTAAAGTAGTTTGAAGGGATGAGTGAGAAAAAACGGCTTCTTTCTGGAAGGCTAGGGGTTGGGAGCAATGCTTATTGGGAAGAATATAAGTTAATATTCAGTTGAGGGGTTCACTTTCCATTTTGAAATAATTTTAGATTTATTTTTTTTTTAAGTTGCAAGAAAAAAAAAAAGCTGGGCGTGGTGGCACACACGTTTAATCCTGGCACTTGGGAGACAGAGGCAGGTAGATCTCTGCGAGTTCCAGGCCAGCCTGGTCTACAGAGAGAGTTCCAGGCCAGCCAGAACTAGAGAAACCCTGTCTTAAAAACTAGCCTCCCCCACCCCCAAAAAAAAATTGCAAAGAAAGAAAGCTGGGTGCCGAATCCCACACCCATAACTCCAGCATGTGGGTGGAGGCAGGAGGATCAGAAATTCAAGACCAGCCTTGGTTACATGAGACCCTATCTCTAAAAACAAAACAAACAAAAGTTGAAAAAAAAATCAGTATAAGAATTATTCTGGGGCCGGGCAGTGGTGGCGCACGCCTTTAATCCCAGCACTCGGGAGGCAGAGGCAGGCGGATCTC